ACACTGCAGCTAAATGTGATGGAAGATTTCTGGAAGTTGATAACTTGGCCAGAGACTTCCTCATATGTTTGGAGAATAGCCTTCAGATTCTTTGCTTCAGTTTCAGTAGCTCGTAAGAAAAGAAAACTATCATTAGCAAAGAGGAGATGGGAAATTTTTGGAGCTTGCCGGCATATACGGATTCCATGAAGTTGCTTCCTGTATTCAGCCTCTTTGATCATAACAGTGAGACCTTGAGCACATAAAATAAATAGATAAGGTGATAATGGGTCACCTTGTCGGAGGCCTCTAGTTGGCATGACAGCACCTATCTCCATGCCATTCAGTAGTACTCCATATCTAACCGTGGATACACAGCACATTATCTTTTGAGTCCATTCATCAGCAAAACCAAGGGCCTTCATTATACTCTCCAGGTATGGCCATTCAATTCGGTCGAATGCTTTACTCATATCTAATTTTATTGCCTGCCATCATTTCTTTCTATTCTTCCTACTCCGCATATAGTGAAGCACTTCGTAGGCAATTAAGAAATTATCTGTAATTAGCCTATTTGGTAAAAAGGCACTTTGCTCTTGGGAGATCACTGTCTGTAGAACTTGCTTAAAGCGATTAGCCAGCACTTTCGCTAGAATTCTGTACACCACATTACATAGGCTTATTGGTCTTAAGTTAGCCATTGTCCTAGGTTCATTGCGTTTTGGAATGAGTACAATATGAGTAAAATTCAAGTCCTGTGGTAAGGCTCCTCCATGATTAAGGAATTGTAAATAGGGTCTCACAACATCCTCCTTGACAATGTTCCAAAACTGTTGAAAGAAAGCTGGGGAAAGACCATCAGGGCCTGGTGCCTTTGATGGATGCATATGAAACAGTGCTTGTGTAATGTCATTCTCAGTGAAATCACGAAGCAAAAGCGCATTATCTTGGATAGACACACACGATTGTAGACAGCAAGTAACTCGGTGTATGGCAGTAGGTTGCGATGAGGAAAATAAAGTAGAGAAGTAATCAGTAGCAATATGTTGGAGATCCTGAAAGTCATACTTCCACACCCCGTCCTTACCTTGCAATTTATTGATTGTATTGTGATCCTTACGCCTTGATGCTCTCTTATGGAAGAAGCGAGTATTTCTATCCCCCTCTTGTAACCAAATTTCTCGAGAGCGTTGATGCCACATTACTTCTTCTCTTTCAAGCCATTCCTCTGTTTCAGTAAGCAGTCTCTTCTCTTCTTCAATTGTGGATTCCGAGACTGGCTGCTGCCTTATAGACTCAATTGGTCTTATACATTGCTTCACCTGCTTCTGCACATGACCAAAGTGCGTGCTGTTCCAATGTGCCAAGTCTTCTGAGCATAGGCGGATCTTATGTAACAGACTACACCACTCACCATCACTTTCAACGGCAGACCAACTCGACT